TGAAAAAGTAGCGATAAAAATGGTTTTTAATAGAAAGTGAAAGTATTTTGTGAAAAACAAAAAAAAAACGAAAGGGGAAGGGTTTTGTGGAACGGAGGAAGTATGTAGATAGAAATATTAATGATTAAAGAAAATACTCTCTCTCCCCCGTCAAAAGATTTCTCCATGTCCGTAAAAAATCAAGGGTAATCTATTTAAATAACACTAAAACATAATGACTTTCTCTAAATAGCACCACATATGTTTTTTTCCAATGTAACACTTTTAGTCATTATGCATTAGTCATTATTCAAGTAAAGATTCGCTATCACTGAACATTATTAAGTACTATTTAGACAATAAAATACTCCGTAGTTTAAATGCTATTTAGAAAAATGACTTAAGTTTAGTGTTATTTAGTGCAAATATTTCAAAAATCAAATTCAAATGAGATTAATGGAGAGCACTGTCAAAAGATTTCTCCATGTTCGTTATTAATGTTCGTAATTAATGTGTATAGATGTTATTCGACCTGTTTGGCATCAATTTTAGGAGGAAGTATTAGTATTTTGAAAAGTTTATATATACGTTTTTAAAATTAATATATATACCACTAAAATTTTATCTAAAATATTAGTAATAAGTATAGTTAGGGCTTGTAACTGGTTGGGACAAAACATTTATTTCATACTCATCACATTCTAGTGTTGCAATTCTAATTATTATATTTTGGGAGTCAATATTAAAATTTTATTCACAATACTCACGTTAGACTTAGACAATCATTGCACGCGATACACGCCTACACATCATTCCACCTCTTAGAGCACTGGTAATGGTTATGAAGCCCCGGGGCTTCAAACCGGGGCTTCAAACTTTCTCTCTCTGTCACGTCAGCTTTAACTTACACTCAAAATTCACTGAAAATGGGTTTGAAGCCCCGGGGCTTCAAAACTGGGCTTCAAACCTTCATTTTTTACATTTTTAAATATACATCTTCTAAATTTAAATTAATAAATTTAAATTAATTTATTATTTTAATTAATCGCAATTACACTAGTGCATAAAAAAATTAAATTCATTATAAAAAAAATCTTACATTCATAAAAAAACATTCAAAAAAAAATTACATTCATTAAAAAAATTACATAAAAAAACAATAGTACAAAGAAATCACTAATTATTCGAACGACTAAAGATATGCTCGATCAAATCCGCCGTTAGTGCATTGTGAATCTCTCGGCTTCAAATTTCTTAGCGGTTGCGTCGTTTCTTTTCTTCGGTGATTTCTTCGTACATAGGCATCTCCTCGTAAGAAGAGATGACGACTCATCCGAAAACGATTACTAAAATCCCCCGGTGTATAAACACACGGATTATTAAAGTAGTCGTTTAGAAGTGAATCGTGGGCGGCCCCGCTCGATCCCGGTTTAGACGTTGGCGTCGGGTCTGTCGTCGGGAGGATTCGGCTTCTTCTTGGCCATCTTCCCACCATTGAATACAATTCGTCGCGAAACAACGAAAAAATAAAGCTCTTCTTTCATCGTCGGAAGATAAACCCATTTTTAAATTATATTTTATAAATATTTATAATAAATAATAAATATTTTTGAGAGAATATATAGTAATAAAGAGAGATTTGTGAGAGAGAGGTGTGAGAAAGATGTATGAGANGCTATATAGCCGTTGGGAAGGGGGGAGCCGGATAAAAAACGCAGCCAAGCCGCGTCAAACTTTTGACGCTGGTGAACTCACGCCCGATCACGTCCGGAGGGGGGCGGTGTTTCACGCCCCCGGGGCGTTAAACGCCCCATCACGCCGGGGGCGTTGCATGTATTACCAGTGCTCTTAGGCTGCGCGGTGTGAAGGGAGGGATAGACCGCGATGGTTGAGTAGGTTGGCACATCGGGCCATGATGGGAAAGGAACACTGCCACGCTCTCCGTGATCGTGATGTACGTGATGATCCATCGCAACTCTTTTTTTCGTTTGCTTGTTCTTTCTTTATTTTTTTTTCTAGTTTTTTGCTTTTTTTCTTTCTTGTGTTTTGCTTTAGTCTTTTTTTACTTTTCAATTTTACTTTTCTTTATTTTATTTCAGATTTCTAATTATATCTCAGATTTTTAAATGAATATTTAATTCTTTTAAAAAGCAATTTATTTTTCGCACTGTAACTTCATCTTTTTGTTTATTATGGAGTAATTTTCAAGACACTATACTACAATTTTTTGTATTAATATACAATAGAATTTTTGTTTATTGATTATCAAAGTTTGTCTACTTCGACTAAAAAACTCTTTTTTCCATAATTTTTGAAATCTAATTTAGTGTCTTGAATCACAAAAATAATGACATGATAAAATTAAAAGTAGGAAAATTAAAATAATTTATGAACTATGTTATGACTTATGAACATAATAATAATAGTAATAATAGAGTTAATAATAATAGTAATAATAAATTAATAATATCTAGTTTTTAGAGTTATTGTTTGGGGAATAGAAAAAGGTTAAAGAAAAAGAGAATAGATGGAAAAATGTGAAAAAACTGAATTTTTTTTTTAAAAAGAAAGAAACTTGATATTTTGCCTCGTAAATACAAGTTTGGCAAATATTTAGGGACGGGAGGAGCACTATATTGTATTTGTATGGTGTACGGTAATTCGATACTGAGTATTAAAGAAAACTGATTCAAAAATATATTGCAGGTAGTGGATACGATGTCAAAAATGAGTCCATTTCTAACAATTGGGCCGACGATTCCATCTCTCTACTTAGACAACCGGGTCATCAACGACACCGAATATGGGCTCAGCCTCTACCCGTTGGACCCATCAACAAGCATTATCGAGTGGCTCAACACCAAACCGGCCGGCTCAGTTGTCTACGTATCATTCGGGAGCATGGCCGCCCTAGACCGGAACCAGATGGAGGAACTCGCGTGGGGTTTGTACAACACAAACGCTCCCTTCCTATGGGTCGTGAGGCACTCGGAAACCTCCAAGCTCCCGAGTGGCTTCGTCGAAACCCCTAGTAAGGGTCTAGTCGTGACCTGGAGCCCGCAGCTTCAGGTCCTATCCCACAGAGCCGTGGGGTGTTTCTTCACCCACGGCGGGTGGAACTCGACCCTCGAGGCGCTGAGCCTCGGGGTGCCGATGGTGGCGATGCCACAGTGGACCGACCAGACGATGAACGCGAAGCTGATCGTGGACGTGTGGAAGGTCGGTGGGCGGGTTAGGGTTGGGGAGAATGGGGTGGTGGGTAGGGAGGAAGTGGAGAGATGCGTTAGGGAGGCGTTGGACGCGGAGAAAGGGAAGGAAATGAAGGAAAATGCAGGGAAATGGAGTGAGCTTGCTAAGGAGGCTGTGAGTGAGGGTGGAACTTCTGATAAAGCCATTGATGAATTTGTATCCAGCTTAATGATGAGCTCCTCCAACAAGGCTTGATAACCTGGTTGTTCCAATTCAATGGCATGCACGTCTAAGTGTCTAGGTGCAGTGTGCACCTTTTATTTATTTATTTATGATTGTATGTTGACAACAAAATAAAATGAATAAGTCAAACAAGTCACATTATCTTATGAAAAATATTCTAAGGCCCGTTTGGTACATGGAATTCAAACTATGGAATTAGAATTAAGGGCTTCAATTCCAATTCTGATGTTTGGTAACACAAAAATTATGTTGACTGTGTGATGAGAGTGCAAATAGGAAAAATCAAGAGTGGGGGACAATGCTCTGGCGACCCCACGGCAGGGGCATATGGTATATTGGCGTAGACATTTGTTAGTGTGGTATTGGTTGACAATGCCCACGGGCGCGCGAGAATTCTACTCCCTCCGTCCCTAAATAAAGTTCTTCTTTCGTTTTTTCTTTGTCCCTAAATAAACTTCTCTTTTCTCTTAAAAATCACTTTTACCCCTTACTTTTTCATACCCTACATATCACATCATACCTTTTTACTAATAATCTACCTATCACATCTTACTTTAACACATCACATCAAGGGTATTTTTGGAAAGTCAACACCAAAATATCCCTCCCTTAAATCCTCAAAAAGTCAAAAATGGAACTTTATTTAGGGACGGAGGGAGTATTTAATATGAGTGTTTGAAAGAGTAACACCCAACTTTTGAATTTTCATACTTTTTTATTTCTATTAGGAAGTTCTCCTATTTTTTACGGGGCCGTTGCCATGAAACTGCCCGGCAATGTCATGGGATGATTCGGGGGGCTCCGGAGCCCCGTTCGTAAAATTGACTGTTCTTACTCCCTAACCCCCCGGTAAACCCTCCACCCCGCCCCAACCTGACCACACCCCCACCCCCTTTATACTCATCTCTAATATTGTATTTTTTACCTCTTGGCATAGTGGCCTGGTGAACCATTCTCTAACTTTAATTTAATCATGTCCCTCCAATTGTGGCAAGCATCCAACTTTAGAGTATAATCCGAAAGATCTGCTTCTTTGATGTATCTACTATGAATCCATTTAACCCACAAGATATCCTTTTTGTCAGCAATACCCCACTTTAACTTCGTTATGGTGGCTTTATTCGAGTAAGAGGCATTCTTGCATTGATTCCCAACCCTGGCCTCCATAATTTTTTTTCTGACAAATTTCACCCCAATTAACCCATGGAACTTTCAAGTATTTATAAGAACTCCCCCACAAGAAGTTCCTACAAATAGCCATTATTTTTTCAAAACTTGCTTGGGCAGGTGGTGAAACTTACTGTCATCTATTTTGGGAGTGCGCTGTTGCTCAAACCATGACCAGTTCATGTTTTCCTAAATTCAACTTTCATGCTAAAATGGTTAAGTTTCAAGATCTTTGGGCTATCATACAGAAGGCCACTTCGAAGAAGAGCAGACTGCAAGTGTTGACAATTTGGGCAAGATGTGTTTATAACATATGGAGGATGGGGAACAAGGTTATGCACAAAAAAATGTACTATTGATGAAGCTATTGATTTTGTTTGCTATTATACTCGTAATTATTTAACATACACGAAGATGATGTAATAGGGTTTGGGCAAACTATTTGTGAGAAATTGTTTAGGTGGTAATGAAAGTTATGTTTTCTGTGCAAAAAAAAACATGGTGTTAAGGTATGACTGTATGACTTTATTATTAGAATAGTTACTCACTCCATCTTTAAGAAAAGTTTCTAATATAACTTCACATAGCTTAAAAAATACAAAGAAAAAAAGTAAACTATTAAGATTTAAAGTAAATTATTCTGATGAAATATTTATACTAAATAACACTAAAATTTAAGTCATTTCTCTAAATAGCACTTAAATTATTTTATTCCCTAAATAGCACTTAATAATGTCCATAATGACCAGTGATGACAAATTTTTATTTGAATAATGACTAATAGATAATGACTAAAAGTGCTACATTGGGAAAAAAACACATGTAGTGCTATTTATGAAAAGTCATTATGTTTTAGTGTTATTTCCGTAAATTCCTCTTATTATGATTTATTTGGTAGACAAGGGAAAATGGTGAGATACATATCAGAGCCATTACTTTAAACAACTTTTTTTTCTCTTTCTGTCTCTCTGCGGATTGCTATGACTATCTCCGGCTTCGGCTCCGTGGATTCTGGTTCGTCACCTTCACCGGGCCTTTTTCGCATGTCTTCCTCTAAACATTTCCCCATAAAATTAACCAAAACCAACTATCTGGTTTGGCGCCGTCAAGTTCAGACCACACTCGTTGGTCTTGATCTCATTGGCTACATCGAAGGTTCCGTTCCAGTGCCTTTTCCTTTTCTCGATGCTGCACACAAGCAACCTAACCCTGCGTACACTTTGTGGTATCGTTAGGATGTCATTCTTCTTAGTGCTATATATTCTTGGAATCGGAACAGACCTCGTTCAACCGCTGATCTCCCTTGCTGATACCTCAACAGATGCTTGGTCTCGCCTTGCCAAAAATCTCGCCAACATGTCCCGTGGCCGCATCATTTCGCTCAAATCACAGTTGGCGAAAGATCCTCGCGGGAATCCTTCAATTGAAGCCTTTGTTGCAGATATAACGTTGATCGCATCAGACCTCGCCTTGGCCGGTAGACAAGTGACTAATGAGGATCTTTCGGTTCACATCATGTCTCAACTTGGAGAAGATTATTCTGCCCTATATCAGTCCCTGCGGGGTGCAACACTGACATATCCATTGATGAACTTACTACCATTTTGAAGGACTTTGAGTGTGAAATTCTCAATCGTGCCACAATCACATCCGATCTTGTGCCCACAGCTAATCACACACATCACATGCGTAGTGGTGATCAAGGAGGATCTTTCGGCCGTGGTGGTCACTCTGGCATCAATCGTGGGGGAATGCGTGGACGCGGTCCTAAGTCCTAACAACTCCAATCGTGGTGGACGCTACTGTCAATTCTGTGACTTGGCCAGTTACGACACCGTGTTTTGCCGGAAACTTCAATGCTTCTTACGAGAAAACAATGTTACCACTGCTCCTCCTTCTCGTCAAGATGGTCCTACGGTATCTGATGGTAACATTGGCCTCTCGGATGCTCAATGGATCGTTGACAGTGGTGCCTCTCATCATGTGGCTACCGACCCTAATGCGCTCAACTCACTAATGAAATACGGTGGACCGGATGAAAATCGTTTGGGTAACGGTAAGACTTTAACTATTTCTCACACTAGTCACTCTCATCTTCCTACTTCCTCTCGTCCACTTTCACTCTCCAATATTTTGTGTGTTCCCTCACTTCACAATAACCTCTTATCTGTGTCTCAATAATGTCATACTAATCGTGTTTCGGTTAAAGAGTACGTACTTGGTGGCTAAGGGTTTCTTTCAACAACCTGGGCGTGACTACTTTGAGACATTTAGTCTTGTGACCAAGCGAAAGATCCTCATTAGTCACTGGTCTACCGGTCAAGGCGAGGTCTGACGCGATCGACGCCATATCTGCAACAAAGGCTTCAGTTGAACGATTCCCGCGAGGATCTTTCACCAACTATGATTTAAGCGAAATGATACGACCACGAGACATGTTGGCGAGATTTTTGGCCAGGCGAGACCAAGCATTCGCTGAGGTATCAGCAAGGGAGATCAGCGGTTGAACGAGGTCTGTGCAGCTTTCAAGCATAGCACCAAGAAGAATAGCATCCTAACGATACCACAAAGTGTACGCAGGATTAGGTTGCTTGTGTGCAACATCGAGAAAAGGAGAAGGCACTGAAACGGAACCTTTGATGTAGCCAATGAGATCAAGACCAACGAGTGTGGTCTGAACTTGACGACGCCAAACCAGATAGTTGGTTTTGGTTAATTTTATGGGGAAATGTTTAGAGGCAGGCATGCAAATAAGGCCCGATGAAGGTGACAAACTTGAATCCACGGAGCGGGAGATAGTCATAGCAATCGGCAGGGAGACAAAAAGAAAAAAAAAGCTATTTAAAGTAATGGCTCTGATACCATAAAGGAGATTAATGAGTGATTGAATTGATTAAACATTCACACCAGCATGGGCGTATTAATACACATTGCATGCAGAGTAAACTAACAAAGCTACTTACATATCACTTATGCATGTGGAAGAGACTAAGTCCAAAACAAACTACTTGAGATAAATACATACATTCCGTAACTACCATTCAAATATTCAAATCTCATCCTTATCTTTAGCATCCTTAATACATACTCCCTCCCTCCCAAAAAGATTGGTACATATTGACTTTTTGGGAAATTAAGGGAGAGATATTTTGGTGTTGACTTTCCAAAAATACCCTTGATGTGATGGGTAAAAGTAGGATGTGATGGATAGATTATTAGAAAAAAGGTATGATGTGATACGTAGGGTATGAAAAAGTAAGGGGTAAAAGTGGTTTTTTAATAGAAATGTAACGGACTTTACAGGACGCAGTTTTTTCGAAACGTGTCGGACTTTTTGGGACGGAGGGAGTATTATATTGTTCTTTAGATGGAAGAAATGAAAAGGAAAACTTTTACGGAGTATTTTAAAATATTGTCAAAGTAACATATTTTTTTTGGCTACGAAACAATAAAAACTTTTAATTTGAAAAAGACAGTAACAGTTTTTTTGGCTAAGAACACAATAAAAACTTGTAATTTGAAAAAGACAGAAAACTTTTACTACCTCCGTCCCACTGTCTTTGTCCACATTTGACTTTTGGAACTATTCATCTAAGCACTTTGATTCATCAAATTCTCTCAATGTGTAAGCCTAAAAATAGTCATGTGTGATCTTATTTGATTCGTCTTAACATATAGATTATTAATATATAATTTCTATAATTTTTTAATATACAAATTACAAGATAAAATGGATTAAAGAAGTGCATTGAATGGTGTGCCAAAAGGTAAGTAGACAAAGACAGTGGGACGGAGGGAGTACTACTGATAAATATTTTATTAAGGAGTATTAAAAAACCCGCAATATGTGGACACATCAGAGTAGAATTTGTACTAGCATGAAAAACATTCAAAAAAAAATAAAAGCTGAACCCGACGTGAATCGAACACGCAACCTTCTGATCTGGAGTCAGACGCGCTACCATTGCGCCACGGATCCTGTCTTTTAACCCAAGTATAAAACAATATATATTGCGTATTTTGCTTTTATTCTAACTTTAACCACCCATTAACTCTTACGTCTTACCCACATTTTTTCTTTCCGTATCCTGTGGTTTTCTCTTATCAGATTCGTTGATGTCCTCTACGAAGAACATGTCGACGACCTCAATGATTTGCTCCGCGCCGGAATAGCGCCAACCACTCTAGTCGTCCGTCTTTTTTTCCAAAAATTTGTCAAATTCGAATACCATATCAAACCGGGCTAATAGCATGAGTGGCTCATGGTTTACAAAAGGTGTGTCAAAATTCATTATTTGCAAGACTTTTGTGATTTTTAAATATTGCGCTAACATTTAATCTCACGAGTTAAAATAACATTTATGCCCTTTTTTTTCTCCATCTACAAGTTTCACTCTTTTATTTTCATTTTTCCTTTACTATACTAATAAATATAATAAAATATATGCTCTCTATCTTAAATTAAATATTTTTATTTATTTATTTTTCAAAACAAAATAATTTTTTGAGAAAACGTTACAAAAGAAAATGAAAATTAAAAAACTAAATAAAATACACTTTTTATTATAAGTAAAAGTAAATTATATAAAATAAAAAATTAGATAACATATACTCACTCTATCTCAAATTAAAAAATTAAAATTAATTATTTTTAAAAAGTAATACTCCCTCCGTCCCCAATTAGATTACCAATTAGGGTTTATGAGGAGAAATATCTCACTTTTTAAAATCATTTTATTTATAAATCGGTATATCGATAAGAAATAAAAACATTAAAAAATTATGTCAAAAGTTCTACAAAACAAGAGGTGACAAGAATATTTTATTTTATTAAATCCTTAATGAAATTGCGTAAACAAACAAAAGTTATCGGATCGAGAGCAGAGAGAAAAGAAAACTATAATCAAATTAGGGAAGGAGAGAGTATAATTTTTTAAGGACTTTAAATAAATGAAGAACAGAAAGATGAAATAAAATACAAAGTAATAGAATAAGACTATTTTTTCTATCTTTTCATTACCTTTTCCAGTTATTTTTTCTTTTACTTCGTACATAATATTTTATTTCATTTTTCTATTATTAATTTTCATTTTTAACATTCTACAAAAAAATCTTGTTTTCAAAAATACATATATAAAGAATTTTAATTTGAGATGGGGAGCGTATATTTTGTTTTATATATTTGTTTAATAAAGGAAAATAAAAAATAGAAATTCAACATAGATAAAAAAGAGAGGGCATAAACGTCATTTTAACTGTAAAAATAGGTAAGAGGTATTTGTGCTCTATTTAGAAATCATAAAGACTTTAGAAATAGCTTTTGAAAATTAAGAGGGTTTTGTCGCTCTTTTTGTAAACCACAGGCTGCACTCATGCTATTAGCCCTTCTCAAACATATGTATTTTGATTGACTGGTTGAATAATATTTTATAGAAATATTTGCCTTAAATAGCACTAAAACCTAAGTCATTTCCCTAAATAACACTTAAAATTTTTTATTCCTTAAATAACATTTAACATTGTCCAGTGATGGCGAACATTTACTTGAATAATGACTAATAAATAATGACTACAAGTGCTACATTGAGAAAAATCTCATTTGATTTTATTTAGGGAAAGTCATTATATTTTAATCATATTTAAGAAAATTCCCCTATTTTATACTTCCTCTGGCCTAAAACTATCTTTCTACTTCTTCTTTTTCTCCGTCCTAAAACTATCTTCCCACTTCTTAGAAAAGGATGTAAATAGACTATGTTACCCCTTAACCCCACTCTTAATTGTTGGAGAAATTTAACTAAATAGGACTAAAACATAATGACTTTCCCAATATAGGACCATATGTTTTTATTTCCCAATATAGAACCTTTGGTCATTATAAAGTAATCATTATTCAAGTAAATGTCCATCATTACTGGACATTATTCTTCCCACTAGGTCATTATTAAGTCCTATTTAGGGAATAAAAAAGTTTAAGTCCTACATTGGGAAAGTCATTATGTTTTAGTCCTATTTAGTGCACATTTCACTAATTGTTGCCACCCTCCGTCTTTTGTCTTCGTCTTTGTTCCCTCTCCTCCTTCCTCTCACTTCCTCCATCTCTTTTCCCTCTCATTCTCAACTAATCTTCATCTTTCCTCTATAGATCTAATCCTCTCCGTCTCTCTTCCCTCACTACAAGAAAATGCAAAAAGGATGATGGAAAATGGCGACGGAATAATTTCCGTCGTTACTAGCGACGGAATCAACGACGGATTGGAGATGCCTACCAGTTTTAGCGACGGAACCTACAATCCGTCATTAAGAAGACGCGGGAAGTACTGCGCGCTACTTTGAGCGGCGGAAACTAACCGTTGTTACTTTGGCGACGGAAATAATCCGTCGCGTAAAAGTATTTACTTTATCCGCTTCAAACTGCTGCCGTTTTTCGCAGCGACGGAAAATTTCCGTCACTAGGTTCCGTCGCTGCCCGTAAATTAAAATCAGATCTGCTTTTCTTTTCCAGACAGAAAGCATCGCACACCACACCACGTAAATTACGTCCAGTCGCTACTCGCCGCCTACCACGCCGCTGCTCGCCACCGTCCACGGCGCTGCTCGCCACCATTCACCGTCCCCTTCGTCGCCGCTCGACACCGTCCACCACGCCGCTGCTCTATCCACAAATCTCAGGTTTTTTTCCATTTTGTTTTACAATTGGAGTTGTAAACTATTTTGATTATATATAGATTATCTTTTTATCCTCGGATACACGATTATTATTGTTTGATGATATGAATAAAAAATATAGTATTATGTGTAAATTATTTAACATTTTCTTCAAAGTTTATACATTCTTGGAATTATGGTTTTTTTCCCCAAAATTTTGTCATTTTATTTTAAAAACTCAATACATGCTTGAAACTTCTAGTGAATGAATATTATACTTATTAATTGTTTCATAGCATATTTTGGATATTGTAAATGTTATAAGAGATTATGTACATATTATGTATGTTGTTGAATATTGTAATTGTTATATTTATATTTTTTTGTTTTTTTGTTATAAATTTTATAAGTTAATAGTATGTTAATTTATTTGTTTGAATTTCTCAGAATGAGTGACTTTCACGAAAATCAAGGTTGGATGTATAAAATACTTGACATTTCAGGTTTTATAAATATAGATTGGGTTGACAAAGTAAGATAGTTCATTAAGTTTGTGAGTCAAATCCAAAAGTAGACAGATTGAACGGCCAGATGCGTTGTCCTTGTAAGAATTTTAAGAATAGATATTTTAAAGATATCGAGGACATTAAACTTCATGTACTGAGACAAGGTTTCACTCCTAAATATCTTGATTGGGTTTGCCACGGGGAGGAACATGGTGACTATATGAGCCATCATTGGCGCCGTAAATCTGCTCGTACCTTTGTTGAAACTGATAGGACAGAATACATGAATATGGTGATTGATGCTGCGGGGCCTTCCTTTAATCCTAACGTTCCAGTTGGGGAGGAACCAAATGCTAGTGATAAAAAAAATTTTGACATGCTAAAAGCCACTGAAATGTCTCAACTCTCGAGTCTCGATGGCTGCAAGATTACTCAATATTAAGGTAGAGCACAATTTGTCTAAGAGGTGTTACGACACTATTTGCCAATTGTTCAAAGACGAACTTCCGGAGGACAATTCAATGGTTTCTGATTTTTATGAGATAAAAAAACTCATTGAAGGTTTAGGACTTCCAGTGGAGAAAATTCATTGTTGTGTCCAAGGTTGCATGTGTTTTTGGGGCCTAGATGCTGAGCTAACGCATTGTAAAATTTGTGAAAAGCCTCGTTACAAAGACTCTATAAAAAAGATACCAAATAGATACATGTTCTACTTTCCCCTAACGCTGAGGTTAAAGAGATTGTACATGTCAAAGAGAACAACGAAGTCTATGCATTGGCATGCGGAGCACAGTCACGATAGTGATGGAGATATGTGACATCCTTGCGATTCTAAGGCCTGGAAGCAATTCAACCTTTCTAATCTAACATTTGCTTCTGAAGTTTGAAATGTAAGGTTGGGTCTCTGCACAGATGGTTTTCAACCTTTCGGGCAATCGGCTTCTCAATACTCCTATTGGCCAGTAATGGTCACTCCTTACAATCTCCCGCCCAATATGTGCATGAAAGAGGAACACATATTTTTGTGTGCGATAGTTCATGGTGTTGGAGGTCTCGCACGGAGCCTACCACGAATGCATGCAAGTGAGGCAAGACGTGCTAGCACTAGCTCTATGTGGGACCCTCGAGATGATGAGATCAGGGGGTTGAGAGAAGAGCTAGATGAAATTAGAGCTTCCCAAACGCGTGAATTATTGTCGATTCGAGAAGATATGACCCGACTTTATGGAGGAGTTTTCCCATGTGGAAATGGAGATGGCGGTGGAGATGGAGGAGGGTCGGGGTTTGCAGGGGCTTGTTGAGTGTTTTATTAGAATTGAAGAACATTATATTAAACTTAAGTGTTATGGTTATGTAAGTGGAGTTAGATTTCTTTGTAATGACGCATTTTATAAATATTATTTGAATTTTAGTTGTTGCTTGGTGATTTGAGTATTTTTGGTTGTTTGGTACTCTTCACTTTTAGTATTTGATGGTTGTTGGATGTTGTGTTGTGATTTAGAGCACGTGGTTGATCCTTTTTCTGTGTGAAATTGTAAAAATTACAGGTTTATTTGCAGTTGCTGTCAAATAGGCGACGGAAGTAGCGACGGAAAAGAACTTCCGTCGCTATATGGTAAATTTGCTAAAACCGTCGGCATATCCGTCGCTAGTATTGGCGATCGCGAAAACTGTTGCCAAATTTTTTCGCTAATTCCGTCGTTAATTGGCGACGGATTTTAAAAACCGTCGTTAAAATTAATATTAACGAAAAAGTATCAACGGAATAGAAACCGTCGTTAAACGAATTACCTACGGAAATAAAGCTTTGGCGGCGAAATTTTTCCATCACTATTTAAGCAGTTTTTTGTAGTGCCTCTCCTTCTTTTTTTGCCTCTTTTTCAAAATCACAGATCTAGATCTACAGTTCGGTTCCCAAGTCTCTTTTCCCCTTTCGATCTACGATTTTTCATCATCGCCGATATCAACGGGCCATATCAGTGATTCATCACGCACTTCAATTCACCAGTTATCACCCCTACAGCGGAGACCACAACTGGATGTACTCTGGCATTGAACATTGCCGCAAAATTGGTGCTCAGAAAGTATGTGGTTTGTACATGGGGTCTGTCGGTGTTGACCTTTGCCGACAACCAGTACTCCAACGATGATTTTAGTTTTTTTAGTTTTCTTTTTCAATTTTTTGAAAGTTGACTGTAGGGTTCAATTTTTACTTTTTTAGTTACAGTGAGAGTAGATTGAGTCATCCCTTAAATCGTCGTCTTTGTCGGCACCGATTCCTGGATCTTCGAGTTCAGCGAGCCCATCAACTCCCCCCCCATAGCAGCACCGTGACCCGTCCCAAATCTTCATCTTCGCGTTGCACCCCCTCTTCTCAATCAATGCCCTTGGAAGGAGGGGGGGGGGGAATTTTTGGAAGCTAAAGCCATATTTATCCATCCCTTAAAAATGGCCTTTAGTCAAAGTGAGAAGATCAATATAGGACAGATAGAGTATAAAATAATATTACACGAACATTTGAAAATATTTTTCATACCGATTTTGAAAGAAATGAACTTTTAAAAACTTTATTGATCTTTTTTTTGGGCAAATTAAAAAATATTGATAGGATTCTGGAATGCCATTCGAGAAAATTTTAAAAGTTTTTCGCAGACTATTGACTCGTGGTAAAAAAATATTTTATTTTATCTAAAGAATACTCCATTTAGACTCAAACTCACGAACCAGTATACGTGTAAAAATATACACACTTTCAGATGTTTGATAAAAATCTTTTTGACTGAAGTTATTCTTAACTAGATTCTAACTCGTTCGTTGCACGGAAAGAAATTTAAGCCTTTTTAAACAAAAATTCGAGGCCTTAAACTGTACTTGGTATTGTATAGAGAGTTACATAGTACTCCAAATGTAAATTTGTTAAAAAAATGTTTCAATTATTGTTTGTAAGCAATACTATCTAAAGTTGCACTATAGTTCCTTAACATGTTAAATATAACATTATTGTAGATCTACTCATAAAGCTGTAATACACTGAAAATCAACCACAACATCAAATTAGAAAAATTTACTGTATCAAATTAACATCTTATTACTTGGTGCGACACAATGACTTATGTGGGCTACTCTTTCGTAGCTGTCTTGGGCCGAATATATGTTTAAGATTACATTTAGCGGGCTAAAAAATTTGATTTACCTTGCCTTTTAATTTTTAATGTAATATGGAATACACTCACACCTTCCTTTTAACATACTTGGACAAAAGCATTCTAAATAAATAGAAGCACCTCGAAAGGTTCTCCTCGACATTACAATAAAGGCGGAAAAGAGTATTTTTGGTCATGCCATTCCAACCAACCTATAAGAGTTGTTCTGCTAAATACGGTAAGATTTGATAGATCTTATATTAATGTCATAGTCCCAACGCAAACATCTCTTATAGAAGTTCCCATTGCCTCTACTCTTTATGTTTGACTTCTGCTTGAGTTTGCATAACAAACATCACTCTTTTGGTAAGCTGAAATGCCTCATACCTATTAAGTGTGAAAAACTTGATTAGTAACTCTATTGACACACCACTCAATTACTCAAATGCATCATTCAAAATTAAAGGTTAAGAAGATGATAATTGAAGTGGTCTACCTTCACTTATAGAACTTTCATTTAAATAAGTTTTGATAAAACACATCTACCAATAAACAATAAAGCATAAAGTCTCTCTTTTTTATATAATAATGCTTCTCTGGCATGTGGCTCTCATTCTCATTTTTCTTATGTCGTTGATTTGCACCTAATATTTAAAAACACTAAAATTTTATTTTCCCTAATACACAGAAGCATAGATAGTTTCACAAATCATCATGTGGACTACAACAAGCTCTAAGGTGTTGGTTTTTTGAATTCTCCTCCTCCTTGAAGAAGATTGGTTTTCAACAAGTTAAGGCAGATTTAGGCCACGTTCTCTTCAACTTTATTCTTAGTACTTATTACTTTTTCTTATTTGAATCAAATCAGAAATAACTTTAAATATAATTACATTTAGGTTAGGTCAGACCAAATGAGAACTTATTCTAATCAGATCAGAACCATTTAGATCAGGTGAAGAGAACATGACCTTATTCTCTCTTCACATTTTTCTGAGGCACCGTTGAACTTAGTGTGTTCGTCTATGTGGATAATCTTGTTATAGCCATAAATAACAAGCATTTTATTACTCGTTTCAAGAATTATTTGTTAGAATGCTTCCAGATGAAAGATTTGAGATTGCTTAAATATTTTTAAGGCATGGAATTTGTGCGGAACTCTAAAGGCCTCTTCTTGTGTCAACAAAAATATGACCTTGACATTCTCTCTGAGGCAGGAATTTTAGAAGCTCGTCCAGCCAACACACCTCTTCCTTAAAGTCATCACCTTGCTTTGGCGAGTGTCCCATTACTTTTGGATTCGGCTCGCTACCGTCGCTTTGGTTGACGTTTGATATATCTACCCTCACTCGTCATGATTTGGCTTATGTTGTTCATGTTCCATTTTAGTTTATGGGAGGACTTAGAGAAAATCACTCAATGGTGTAGTCCAAGTCTACGCTACATAAAGTCACAACCAAGACAATGGTTGTTTCTTCCTGTTGATTGTGATTTCACCCTTTATGCCTAATGTAATTTTGATTGGGCAGGCTACCCATTTAGACGTCGCTCTCTCATTGGTTATTTCATATGCCTAGGAGATTCTCCAATCTCATGGTTCACAGTGGCGGAGCCAGAAGGTCACCAGTGGGGGGCACACTCGGAGTCGGGGGAGTCCAAGGCAATGCTCCTGATTTTTAACTACAATATAAATTGATAAATCAATAATAAATTGTATTTCAAAGATTAAAATAATTCGCAAAAATATAACAATAAAATGTCATTATTATTAATCATACCAAATAAGGAGTACTAACTTTTGTTTCTTGAATAAGATTTTGGTCATTTGTCATCTACGGAG